ATTAACTTAAGCATTGATGATTGATTATTATGTTTTACCTTGGAATATTATTTATTTGTGAACCTATACCTTAGGCCTTTTATTCATTGTTTTCTCCTTACTCTTAATCTTCGTAGTTTAGTTTCCTTTGATTACAATATTTTGGTTACTTTATAATTTAGATTGCTTGAATTAATTAGGAATAGAAAGACTCGTTTCTCTGTGGATTCGACCCTACTTCCATATATACATTTAGTTAGTGGTTTTAGGAATTACTTTTGATTAGGTGATACGACTATAGCCTGTCAACTTCCTACTAAGTCCTATTAATGAGAGGACTAGAGGAGTGAGAGTTTGAAGGGATTTAGGGTTTAGTTTTTATATGGAGCTATATATGGGCTTGGGCTGATTTCATTAGTTTTTTTTTTTTTTTTTTTTTTTTTAACATTACTTATCCAGGTTCGGGATATTAGGTCGGGTTCGGGTTAACCCGACCTGATTTTGACCCAAAAATATTTTGGGTTACGTGGGTCGTTTTTGGGTTAGAATTTTCAACCTCAACCTAACCCATTTAATTTCAGGCCGGGTTCGTGCCAACCCATTTAAGTTTTTGGGTCAAAAATCTCAACCCTGACCCACTATTTTTGGGTTGGGTTCGTGTTGTATTTTTGGGTCGGGTTAGTTTTTGCCAATCCTAGTTAGAAACCCTTAGGTGTGAGATTCCATTATTAAAAACTCAACCAAACAAAAAATGAGATGGAATGGATTTTAGATCCATTTCAACTCATTCCAAATGATCCAACCAAATGACCCATAAGTGGTATATCATTGGGAAAAGTCAATACTATAGGGTACAAAAATGTACCAATGAGAATTTCCCTTATTTACAACAATTTTGACTGATTAGTTGTTGACGAAATGACTTATTAAGTGGACAATCTATAAATAAATATAACTAAAGTAACAACTGCTGACATCATCCCCTATTTAAATTGTACAGATGTCAAGTTGTGGTAAAAAAATTTCCCGCCTAAATCAATTGCTGACATCATATTCTTATTTTTATTTTTACTTATTTTTTGAAACCTTCTTATTCTTTACCTTAAATTATTAAATTATAAATACAGAGTTTTTTTTTTGGAAGACAACTATTATAATATATTATTTCTATTCATTTTTTTTATATTATTATGGATCTATAAAAAAACTATCTGGACTCCAAATATAATTACTCTTAGTTTAAGAGTACTCCATATTGTATAATTTGGTTAAATTTTTACTATTTTCAAAATTATTTAGATCTAAATACCATTGCAATTAATGGCTATGTTTCTATATATATTTCTCATATGAGGTACAAATATAAAATATATTTATTTTACAGAAATTTTTTATGTCGTGCATTACACGAGGATAATTTAGTTTATTACTATAGATCATTGTGCATGACATGGGATTTAACCTAGTTCCTAATAATTTAATGAATTTCCTAGTCAAATTAATGTTTCCAAATAAAACAATAGACTTTACTTTTAGAGTATCAATTTTATCCTTAAGGGAAAAATACACTTTAATGATGCCAACTTTACCTATTTTACGTTAAATAATCCCAACTTTCGATTATTATGCAAGAGAAGGTTTAGCGTGAGTCCAATATACCTAACAATAATATTCTGATATCTAACAATAATCTATCTATTAACTAAAACTAAAACAGAAAATTGCTGACATCATCCTCTCCCCAAATTGTATATGTGTCGCTCTCTCTTAAAAAATTTTCCCGCCAAATGCGCTTATGATGTCATATATTTTTTGGTTTTTTTTTCTAGGAATTGATTATTTTTTAAACTATTTTTATTTCAATCTTTTGATTGTGTCAATAAATAAATATATATTTTTTTTGGTTGATAAAAAATTGATATTGAACTTAAACTTTTAAGGTAACTGGTAACTACGATTTTTTTAAAGGGGAGTGCTAAACGCAACCTGACTTTACTCAGCGCAGCCTCTATTCCACTCATTTATTAGATGTAGGGAGAAAATAACCATTTTATATTTTTTCCTCTCAAGTAATCTCTAATAACAAGAGTGCATTAATTTAACTTAAAATACATTGAATTGGAAATGGGTAATGATTTTTACATTAGCCTGACAGGGTTCAGTCGTATCCCCTAATCAAAATTAAATACCTAAGTCCTCTAACTAAAGTAGATAGGGAAGTAGGGTCGAACTCCACAGAGAAACAAGTCTTTTTATTCCTAATTAACTAATATAATCTAGATTATGAAGTAACCAATATTTATATTTGGATAATGAACTAAACTACGAAGATTGAGAATAGGGATAAAACAATATATAAAAGGATCTAGGGCATAGGTTTACCAATAAATAATACTCCAGGGTAAAACATAATAATCAATCATTGACATTGCATAAATAACATGATTAACAGGCTCTCGCAGTTTATTAATCAACATAGATCTAACAGGCTCTCGCAATTTACTAGATCTAAGTTCCTATTGAAAATAGCCTTTAATATCAAATTAACATCTGCTCGATTCATCAATTCAATATTGCTATACTTTTACAAGCCATAATTGTAAAGCGTTAAAACAATTCAATAAGAAATTATCATGCAATACCAATAATCAATAATAGTCAATCATCAATGCATCAATTAACCAGATCGTAAAGGGTTTTCGCTACGTATTGCAATCACAGAATTAATCTACCGGTATTAAATCTCATCTCTCGAATCTCGACTTAACCATTTATAAATTAATCTGCCTATTGAAACTAGACCTAAACATCAATTCTCATCTGTCGAATCTCGAATCAATATTGTCAAACTCATGCATAAAAGATCAGGCCTAATCTAGTCACAGAGCATTAAATCAATCAATAGGAAATTAATCTAGCATTGATAATTAATAACAATAAATTACCCCTTCATATTATTTATGGATCCCCATAAACCCTAGAAATAGAACTACTCACACATAGTAAAATCTAAACTAATCAAAGCAATAAAACAAGTCATAATGAAAGGAATAAAATAAACAACTAAGATTAAGAGAAGAGAAATCGTTACCAAACAAATCTGGAATTAAGAGTAGATTAAGAACAAAGGTTAAAGTGAGAGAAAATCTAAGAAAACAATTCAGAGAGTAAAGAAAGAGAGTAAAAGAAGAGAGAGCTAAAATCGTATTACGTAGGAGTATTTATACTCCGTACAAATCCTAAACTAAAAACAAACTAAAACGACGCTAAACGTCCCCTAATGAATACACGCGCCCGATCGGGCGCGCCTTTTTGCTTTCTAATACTAATCTCGCGCCCGGCCGGGCACGTCATCGGGCGTCAGCCTTAGCTTCTCCCGCCCGGCCGGGCGCGCCTCCGGGCGCCAGCCTCTTTGGCCGGGCGGCTCACTTGGGCCACTATTCGGACTAAGATTGGGCTCCAATTCTTCGGGCCAATCTGGGTTTCCTCTTCCGGTCTTGAATACTCGGTCCAAATGCCCCGGTATCACCTATACCGAGCCCTTAATCACCGGTTCGATGGCTCTAACCAGCCCTGGGCTATAGAATCTGGTCGTGCTTCTCCAATGTTCGTGATTGCTCCAAAATATCTCGGGAAAATACTCCAAAAGCATAAATCCCTGCAAAAGTCAACCAAATCTACGAAAACACTAGAAAACACCAATTAGTAATAAAAGTGGCTCTAAAGAGCCAAAAACACTACTAATTACGACCAAGGGACGGGGGTAAAATACTATATAAAATAGACACATCATAGCCTCTTCGAATTTGATAAGAATCATACGAATCTATTATGTGTGGAATCAATAAAACCACTTTTAATCCTTCAAAAAAAAACCACTTTTTTATATTTCGTTCAAATTGTATGAAATGATTGAGCCTATTTCGTGTGTCACCCAACTTCATCCGATTCGTGTTTATATTCATTAGATCTCGGAATATTGTTCGCTAATTGATTATGTAAGCAATTCGAATAAACAAAGAGGTAAACATTTCTGGAAATTAGGTGTGGAAGAAGGTGGAAAGGAAAGCATGCAAAAATGTCGTGAAGATGATTTTAGCTTAGAAGGGTATTTATGGTATTTAGGAGGGGTGTATAGTAGTAACTAGAGGTTGCGTTTAGCAATCATGTTTTTTAAAGGTTTGTATGTTATTTGTGTGTGTGTGTTTTGTTTTTATTTATTTATTTTTTATACTAAAGATTGTGCAAGCAACCTAGCTATGAAGTCATGTACTAATAATATGGATGTTTGTTATACAAAAATGAACTTATGTTGGTAATAAGTGTTATCGTTGTTTTGTATTTTCAAGGTGCTTCTATTTATTTATATTAAGATTAATAGAGTATAAAAACATAATCTTAAGGCCTCAACCATTAGCTTAAACTTTTGACTGAGTTGGTCCTTCAACAAGGATCTTTAAATTACAAGTATTTTTATTTTGTATTTTGAACTTGATCTTAGATGGAGTATATAAATTTGTATGCATATGTTTGATTAGATCAGATTGACATTGAATTTTAGTTTTTTATATTTTGTTACAACTCATGTAATTATGATGATAGATTTGTTTTTATGATCTAATATACAAGTATATACGGAAAAATAATAGTAGAAATATTTTATTTTATTTCAATAATTTGCAATTTGTGCGTCGCACAAGTCTAATCTAGAATTCTAATATATGACATTAATATTCTATTATATGACGATAATATTATTCTAATATATGAAATTCTAATATTCTTATTACATGACAATAGTATTCTAATATTTGACAATAGTATTCTAATATTTGACAATAATATAACAATACTGACTATAATATTCTAATATTGACAATAATAACCTAATATCTGACATTAGTAATATAATCTAATATATTATATATGACATAAATAATCTAATATCTAATCTTATTAATCTAATTTTTGCATTATTAGTAAACAAGGTATGAACACTGGTATGACTACTTTCAACTTCGTCTCCTACTCCAATGATATTGCTTATCTCATTCTCCTCCCTTTCTATCTCTTTCTTAACGGGTTCTCTCAATTCCATCATTTTCTTCTATTTTTACTTGAAATTTACTCCAATTTTGGGTGTTTAATTGCAGATCAAATCTTCCCCTGCTAAGTTTCTCTTTCCTCGTATGGTTTTTTTTTTCTACTTGTTTTTTGGTTAATCTTGCTGTTTTTCTATTGCTTTAAAATGGCGTTGAATCTCCAGCGAGAATGGCGTCGATAAGGCAGCCGCCATTGATTCATCAGAAATCATCTCTGTTGTCTTCGACATCACCACCATCTGTTGTGTGGATAGACTCACCGTGAGTCTGTTCTACTCAAAAGTTTTGCATTCTACAATAATCCCAATTTTCACTTACATTTTCTTTAATCAATCCCGATTATCAGTAACCTCAAAAAAGGGTTAACTATGCCACGTGTTGCACGTTTATTTATTTTTTTTTATTTTTTTGAAACATGTTGCACATTTATTTGTTCAAAAAAGATTTTAAATTTAATAAAATAAAATTTTAAATTAATAAAAATAAGGAATTTTTGTTTTTTACCACCTCACAAAAACACGAAAATCTGTTTTACCACCTCCCAAAAAAAAGTATTACTTTACCACCTCATAAAAAACACGAATATAGGTTTTACCACCACTTAACGGTTTCCATCCAAAAATTCCGTTAAGTGTGGCCCACAGTAACACGTGTCAACATTTTGTTTGTTAAAAAAAAAAGAGAAATTAAAAAAAAACAAAAAAACCTAAAACTACTCCAGCCACTACCACAGCGCCACCCCCGCGCCACAACCGCCGCCTTCCCCCCAACTCACCACAACACTCCCCGAAATCACCACCCGCGTTGCACCACCATTCCCAACCCACCTGAACCCTCTCCGTCCCTTTCCCACAATCGAAACACCCCCCAAAAACCACCAAACCCAAAACCCTCCTTCCCTAATACGGTCACGATTTCAGCCACAAATGGCCTAAATCGGCTGGTTTTGGGGCTGAGTGGCCTTAACCGGCCGATTTCGGCCATTTGTGGCCGGAATCGTGGCTGTTTTGGGGGGATTCGTGGTCATTCAAGGTTGTGGGTCGGTGGTTTTTGGGTCGATTGCGGTTGCGGGAGAGGGAAGGGGGCGTTCAGGTGGGTTGGAAAGGGAGGGGGAGGAGCCGCGCCGCTGGTGGTAGGTTCGAGGGGGCAGTCGTGGCTTGGGTGGTGGCGCTGTGGTGGTGGCTGGGTAGTTTTAGTTTTTTTTTTTTTTTTTTAAATTTTTATTTTTATTTTTTTTTCTTTTTTTGGCCAATAATAACACGACACGTGGCTTTATGGGCCCACTTAACAGTTAAGTGGTGGTAAAACCTATTTTCGTGTTTTTTTATGAGGTGGTAAAGTAATACTTTTTTTTTAGGAGGTGGTAAAAGAGATTTTCGTGTTTTTGTGAGGTGGTAAAAAACAAAATTGCCTAAAAATAAAAACAAAAAAAAATCAAAACCCTTCCTGTCAAAAAAAAAAAAAAAAAAAAAAAAAAAATCAAAAATCAAAACCCAAGCCAATACATAGCCACTCGGAAAACCAACTCTTCTTCCCTCAAACACCGGCGACGACAACCACCCAACCACCGACGATCGACGCCATTGAGAAGTCCCCTCCTTCGAGCTTCGTCTTCGCGACAACGTCGAAGCTCGTCCAATTCTAACCTCCATTGAAGCGCCTTCTCAGGTAATTGTTCTTTTTAATCAATTTTAGGGTTCTTCTTAGCTGGATTGATTATTGTACTATTATAGCTTATTAAATTGGTAATTGAATGAAAATTTGGTTGCTATTGTGTTGCAGAACCCTAATTAGTTAACTTAAGGACGGAACTATGAAATTGGAAGATGATAATTTACATATGGAAGATGATAATTTACATATGGAAGATGATAATCTGCATACATCAAACCTAGATGATGTTTTAGATGATAAAAAAGAGGTTGAAATTAAAAAGAGAATGCCAAATAAATTGAATACGAGGGGAAGGAGATCTTTCAAGCGAGTTGCATTGTTATTGACCGTACCTACGTATTCTCTGAAAGTCGGTTCATTGAATGTGTGCCATGAAAATCGTATTCGGTTGCGTTACCTTCTTCGCAAGCTTGTTGTACAACGCAATTGGGTCGATGCTAGTGGAGTGTTAAGTGCGCTTTTACAAGGGACTTGTAGAGAAAAAGCACCTCAGAGCAATCGTTTCAAGTATTGGGTATGTTCTTAATCACTTTCGGGGCTTTTACTTCTGAAAAATTTGTTTTATTTGCATTTGAGATCGCGTTATAACATTACTTGTAACATAGGAATTAATTTCTTTTGAAATGTGCATAATTGTTATTCGTTGCAATGTTCCCTTTATCTAAGTAATATCATTGTTCACTTCTAGTAAATGCAATCTTCTTGACAAGCAATCTATGTTTTTGTTGTCATAGGTCGCTATGGAGCTTCTTCAACACATGGATTGTAATCCAGATCTTTACTCATCAAGGATTGAGCACTTGTATGATACGTGGAAGGAAAAGATAAAGTCTAACAAGAGGTGGCCATTGAAGGTATATCTTATGTTAAATCACATCGTTTAAAGCATGAAGAGTGAAATTGTATAACTTTTATCATCAGTTAGCCTATTTTTAATTCTCTTATTAGGCGAGCATGCATATGAAGTGCTAGTAGTGAATAAAGAAATAAGAATGGAAGTTGTTACAACTTTTATGACCCTCTGTTTTTCTTCTCTTGGTGGAAAAGTCATTATAACTAGTCAATCGATGAATGTGCTAGTAGTGAAGAAAGAAATAAGAACGGAATTAGTTATAACTTTTACAAGTCTCTGACTCTTCTCAGTAATTGTGAATAGTCAATGGATGTTTAACTAGGCCAAACATGTCCAAAGTAGAATGTTTATTCATAGAAGTTGTGATATTATTCCAGCCTTTTGTTTTTTTTTTGGTTTTTTTTGGAAATCACAAGTGGTTAAAACACATAACATAGGAGTCATTCAGTGTTTATCTAATTTATTGTTGGTGAATACATTTACATATACTGAAATTAAGGATGTGTATAATTACTAGTAACTCACTAGTTATTACAGCCATGTGGAGAATAACTCTTACTTAATACCGAAAAAGAGACCACAAGGAGTAATATGTGATGATTAAAGCCGGGGGAGGAGAGGAAATTATCGAAAGTTCAAAAGTTATGATGAATGATATTGTAATAATTCTGTTGCTGGATTATTAGTCTTAAAAATTCAAATATACGAGAGGAAATACTGTTGAAGTTTGTTCTGGTGACAGAAGCAAAAGTTAGGAGCAGAAAGAGTCTTGTGAACTATTAGCTTTTGAATTTTTTTGGAAAAGTCTTTTAAACTGTTGGCTTTCATAAGTTTCTGTCACACCCATTTATCGTTCTTGAAGCTGCTTTAAGCTTAAACTTGTTGGATGAGAGTCTTCCAAATAAAAACTAATCAAACTGTTGTTGATGATAGCTATTTCATTTGCTTTTATGCAAAGTTATTAAAATCGGGATTCTACTTTGAATTGGAAAGGGCTGTCAGAATTGAATCATAAAATTGTAAGATTCTACCGACATGCATAATCAAGACGTCATATCTAAATTTAATTAAATATATTCAAATCATGAGTTTGAAACCTAATTTCTAATAGGATATACTTCTTCCGTTACAAATTACTCGCAACAAAGGGGTATTATTTGTGAGACATAAAATATTTCTTTGTTGCGAGTAATATGTAACGGAGGGAGTAGTTGTTACCCATTAAGCAAGCAATAATTGACAGTACATATTTATAAATAATTATGTATGCATGTTTTAAACTTGTAAGGATTTTATTAGCTAAGAGAAATATGTAAAATCGAATAGAATCGTAAATAAAATCGTATGAAATACATGAATCGTAAAATCGTAAGATTTTAAGATTTAAATCAGAATTTTAATAACAATGCTTTTCTCTTTGCATTTCTTATGAAATGTTTTTTTTTTTCTTTTTTTCTTTGGGGGGGGGGGGGGGGGGTTTGAGGGAATGGATATTGAGGTTTTAGCTATTTTCCATGGAAAATATTTAAAGTTTTGTGGATTTTTATAATGCCCATAAGTTATATCCGGTATTCTTTCTTGGTGCTTAGAAATCAGAATGCATTGTTAATCTAGTGAGATCTAGCAGCTAGGCCTTGTTAACTTGTAGAAAAGTTCCATCTTGAACTTTAGTTATTGCCAATAGATAAGAACTATCATTATTCTGAGTTGAATTCTTACATCCGGCACCTGCTTGCTACTTGTGACCTGTTTAATCTTAAAATTACACTTGCGCAAGTAGGCAAAAGATCAAAGTTGCATTTGCCTTTGCTCCATCACTAGGCAGATGCACTGCACATTACCTTCCTACGACCTACTTCTTATTTGTTTGTTGCAAAATTAATAAAAATATCCAAAAAAAATACATTCTAATAAAATTATGACTTTTGAAAATCTATTATTTTACATAGTGGCTTACTCTTCATTATATAATGAACATCTCAGAGGATAGTTATGTTTTTGAGTAGCTTCTTCTGTCAGTTACATGGACAATTGGGCAAATACATAAGAAGCTTTTATTTGTTTTGGGGTGGGGTTGTGGGGGCTTCTGTAAACTATATTTTCTCTGGTTTAAGCTTCATTATTTCTTTATACATGTGTAGATTCTTACTATGTTTTATTTTGACAGGATAGATCTGTTCTGTTGGAGTACATTCTTTTCTCTCTTGCACGAAATAACCATGACTCTGCCCGTCTTAGTTTGCAAAGGTAAATTTTACTGTCTTTTTCTATGCAACAGTTGCCAAGTACGACTTGGATAAACAAATAAAATGCTGAATACTTGTGCATTAGATGGATGCGTTCCTAATTCAATTTTGTAGTTGGGTCAAATTAATTTTTTGCTACTGCTTTTTTCTATACTATGGTGGCTCTATCACCTTGTCCTTTTTCTTTGCCAGTAAATCATACCTCTAATTTATGCATTATTTTTCTTTATAACCTTCGTTTTAATGTCCTTGTTAGAATTTAAAGTCCCGAATTCCTGATTAAGATTTGAATACACTGCTAGTCTGCTACTACAAGTAATTCCTCTAAAAACCATGAGCCTGAATCTTATGAAACAGAAATTTCACTTTCTCTTCTCTCTTAATCTCTCTTTCATCAACATGACTAACCTCTCATGATAGCACAAAATTGAAAGCTAGTTTTAGTATCATGTGCTATGAAGATAAATAGGAGATATACCAGCTTTGATGTCGAAGCTTGAGTGTATCATAGATCTGCAAATGTTGTTGTTGTTGTTGTTTTTTTTTTTTTTTTCTATGATTTAACTTCTTTTTTGAGCTTTATGGAGCCGATTACCTTTTTACTTATCTTTGTTTATTTAATATTTTCTCTGTTCCAATTACTATTTCCTCTGTTCCAATTACTTGCAAATTTGATTTTTACGGTTGCTGAAGCATAACTTCAACCATTGATATATTTAGTTATGATCTAGTACAATATAATAAAAAGTTGATATTGTGAAAGTATACATTTTGATGAATCTAACAGGATCCCACTTGACTATTTTTTTTTCCTTATGAAGCACATTACTAAGGATTTTCAAACAAAAATATGTAAATAGTGTCAAAAGTCAAATTTTTGCAAGTAAAATGAAACGGAGGAAGTGTATTATATTTAATAATATATTTATTTTTTTTTGAAATGTGTGTTCTATTGGTTATTCATGTAGTCTTCAGCAGGAATATGAATCTGCAAGAGACCTGAAATCTAATTTGGTAATGGGTTTGACCAATTATGAGTTGTGGTATTCACAACTGCCAAACAAGATGCGGCTGGGAAACTTAGAAGAGTCTTGCATGCCTATGGAGTCCGAGACTATGAAAACCAACTCCTCTCAGGAACTTGATAACCTGAACGATGAGGATGCAGCCAGTATCTATGAGACATATTCAGAGTTGCACTATCATTCAGAGACATCTGTTGTGAATGACAAGGACACTTGTGCAAATGTCAATCAAAAGCCAGACGTCAAGGTTTCTGGGGTCAAGCCAGTTGAGAATGACAAGAAACTACAGTCACAGGATTTCTATATGAGGTCTGATGAAACAAGTGTAGAAACTGATGGCTCAAATCAACATGCTTATAATCAATATCAATGTTCTTCTGCATATAATGTACACAGTGAGTGTAATTCAGTTTTTGTAATTATCTATCCTCACCTGCGCAGTTTGTCACCCCTCTTCTTTATTTTTTCTTCAGAGCAATTGCTCTTCACTGTGTTTCTTATAGATTTATGGAATCCAGTAAGTCAGTCCATAAGTACTGGTGGTCCTGGCAGATACTTCCTTTGGTCTTCCAGGATCATGATACTTAATATGAAGTGGTAGGCTGGTAGCATGATGATGTCTTGCTATTTCTATTGACAGCTCCATTTGACTTATCACTGTAGGAATATGTGGCATAGTTGTGTTGGCAGTACTTTGTGATGGATGGGGTTGGAATAATGTATATAAGTCACAAACTAAGGGTATAGATTGGTTGTTTTGATTGTTTGGGGTAGGAGGAAACAATTTGGTGGTTAGTGGTGATGGGGTGGGGTGGATTAATTTAGTCCGAGTGGTAATAGCTTCTCAGGGGCCGTATGGGGTAGTGGGATCTTCAGGTTGTGGTCTTAAATTTGGTGGTGGTAGAGGCATTACAATTGCGGGGTTTGAGGGAAAAAGGAAAAAGATGTAAATAGTTTGGAGCTAAAGGTGTCTCTGTATGTGTTTGTGTCTGTTTTTTATGTTTTTTTTTTTTTATTTTTTTTTATGGATATAGGTGTCTCTGTGTGTGTGTGTGTGTCTGTTTTTTTTTTTTTTTTTTTTTTTTTTTTTTTTTTTTTTTAATTTTTTTAATTTTTTTTTTTTTATGTTTATATATATATATATATATGTAAAATTGAGTAGTCAGACCTATTTCCTTGCTGGTGCAATTTCTCATTGGTTACTCTTGGTACCAATATATTGAGCCTTGTTTTGTCAAAACAGGCTTGCAATCACTGTTGCCCATAAGAGTGCCTTCTTCAGATAATTTGATGGACATGCTCTCTTCTCGTCGACAGTTTTTTGGTGATTATTACAAGGAAGCTTTGAAGTTCTTAAAGCTTGCTCTTCATTCTCCGCCTCCAATCTCAGTGGCAGCATTACTTCCTTTGATACAGGTACTTCATTGTTTTATGTTTTGTCTTTACCATATGCAGTGATCTGAGTTTGCATTCATTAATTCCTTTCCTTACAAAATTTGAGTTTATTATTAGTGAAGTTGGATAAGAAAGTTTGTAGGGTTCAACTGGTTTGCAGACAAATGTAAGATTAAGCCTGTTTCTCAGTTTCTGTAGCAATTTGCTATTATTTGAGGATCTAACTTTGTCATGTCACTTTGTGAAAGTTAAGGCTTGTGTAGTATAATTATATTGAGTATAGTAGCATGATAAGAAACCAAACTTTTAGTTATGGTAAGGGAGGTAGTATTAAAAAAAAAAAAATATTACCCCTTTGTCCCAACTTAGTTTGCCAAGATGGGATTTGAACTTTTAGTATTGAAAAAAAGAGTAATATAAACTAGTAAACCCTTGCCAATTTTAGAAATGGGCAAACTAGGGATTTGAACTTTTAGTATTGAAAAAGAGAGTAATATAAACTAGTGAACCCTTGCCAATTTTGGAAATGGGCAAACTAATTTGGGATGGATGGAAAAAGGAAAGTGGGCAAAGTAAATTGAAATAGAGTAAACAAATTAACAATTACAAAATCAAATACATACAAAAAAAGTAATGACCAATGTGCCATCCACATCATTGATACAGACATAGGCTTTGAGTTTGGGCTGTGAACTCTTCTTATCTTTGGATTTGGTTGAAATGTATGATAAACTTGTTTTGGATACAAGGCAGGGGCAAGACGGGTATGCTTATAATTCCAATATCTACCTAACCCATGGCAGGTATGACTTATGATATCAACGCCCACCCACTACCCACCAATGTCATACCTATACCTGCTCCAACTAGTGTGGTGCGGTGTAGTGCAATTGCTGTTATGGTGAATTGGTGATGTAAATTGTTGGATATTATGTGTCATTGATTGCAATGTGTATTTCAATCTTTATTAATTAAAAATTTCTTTTGGCAGCTGTTGCTTCTTGATGGTCGCGGTAAGGAAGCCTTAGCTATTCTTGAGCAGTCCTGCAATGAGTCAAGCTCAGTGCTTTCTTTTAGGTAATGATCTTGCCTCTTAATTAAGATATGGAGCATACAATTGCATGTGGATTATCTATAAATAGGAACTGAAATGTGGTACCATGATATTGGGAGTAGAATTGGGAAAAGGCAGTGCGTTTGGTAGGGAGATATATGCTAGAAGAGGTTTGGAGATACAGGAAGTGAGACACATCCCATTTTTGGTGTAAAAAGACACATTGAATTTGGTAGATGAAGAAGGGAAGTAAATGGAAAACCCCGTTATAAATGGAAAAACCCATTTTTAAATAGCAGAAATTAAGCTGACGATAACAACTGTTCACCCTCAATACGCTGCAGGATTTTCCTTCTTTCTTTACGTTATTATAACTAAACAGTAGTGTTATTAAACCCTGACATAGGATTATAGGAATATAGTCCCATTTCTTAGCAAAAATATAAATAGCAAGCTGTAAAGTCGTTGCTTATCTGTAAGCACTTCACTTGTACTTCTTCCATTTGATCTCAATTTTTTACGTTTCTTAACTGCTCTCTTGTTTCAGTTAACTCCTTTTGGTACCTAAAAGCCTTATAAATCTATGGTTTTTTTTTTTCTAAAATCCTGGAAGAGAGAGACAACAGTATTATATCTTCAATGGACACTTGATGTTTGGGATTTGAAAGCAGTCTTGACCTTCTACAGTTCTGCATGCTTCTCTACTTTGTGGTTTGAAAGGCATGGGTTAATATCTTAAAAGGGTGAATCTTACTGCAATAATGGGAGCATTAAAAGATGATAAATTAAAATTGAACAAGAGGGTGTTTGGTTGGGGTATTCATCTCAAACCCTGAAACCCAAGCAGCCGTGTCCACCTTTTTTTATGCACTTGGTATTGAATTTGCTAGAATTGATTTTGTATATGTGATTTTGCAATGAATTTTCTAGTATAAAATTTGTATATGTGATAAATATATTTTATGTATGTGAATTAAAAGGGTTATATGGTTTTCTCACAATCTTACCTACTTCAAGTTCAACTTTCATGACATATTGACATGGTTTCCTATGGCTTCTCGGCAATAACCCATTTGTTTGATCACATCAATAATTTTTATCAGCTATCTTTGTGGATTGTTGTAGGGAGCTGCAACTAGTCATTTCTTTTCATCACAGTTTGGTCACAAAATATAATGGATTAGACACTCGTGATATCACATGATGGTTAATAAAACATTGTTAAGCTCATGAGTTCAGATTTAAGAGAATTTATGCTAAAGTGAGTTCACTTTAATTATCACAAAGATTAGCAAGCAAATGAAATCTAATTACAGGTTATTATTGTAACAAAATAATAAGACTTTAAATTTTTTTAGTCTGATTCTGTGCTTTGAACCAAACTGTTACAAAGGCAATTAGGAATCAGTTCATTCCGTTTCTGGACAAATACAAACAGATAGGGAGATTCAGGGTCATTGTTTTCCATTCCCCTTGTATCCCCTTTCTGGATTCTATTCCATTTACCCTGCTTAAACCAAACACCCCCTACTTATGCTGTGGTTTGTAAGAAACTTTGTGATATTAGTCTTTTGCGAGTTGAGAGACTCGTGACTCTAATTTGTTTGCTATTTTGTGTTCGGCTGTAAACTACTCTATATTTTAAGAAGATTTAAATTGTGAAATCAGAAATGTGTCAGTAGATTGTTATGCATAAGTATCAACTGTCTGTTGAGATACAATGACAATTCCTGAATAATTATCAAATTATGAGGTGATCAATGTGTGATTAGAGTATTATAGTTTTGTCCTCTATGCTTTGGCAGATTAAAGGCTCGTCTCTGCGAGTGCTTTGATGCAAACAATTATGATAACCTCTCTGGATGTTTCGAGGATGTCATGAAGAGGGATCCGACATGTAGGCATTCGTTAGCAAGACTCCTGGACTTGAATAAAAAAGGTATTGTATTTTTGGAACCTGATATTTGCTTTCTTTGTAATCTAATCCTATATACACTTGTTTATTGTTAAAGTTCAAATATACATGCTTACTAATTTTACTATACCGTCGGCTTGTAGATAATCTGTCTTTTGTATTATTGTGCAAAGGCGTTGCTCTGTAGTCTTATTAATTTACACATTTAAATCAGATACAAGGGAATCATGATTGATTGAGTATTGGAGTTTACATGTTCGCCCATCTAATTTTCATCAAACTTGGAACAAACTGAAAATATCATGTCTACCCTTGATATAATCTATTCAAGGTTTTAAGCATTGCACTTTTATAATCAACTGCCCTTTTTATGCAAGTTTTAAAATTTTTATAATGTGTTTTAATTACCAAAAGTATATGGTAAGTGAAAATTATGTTGTTGGAATTATGCTATCAAATTCTGTTACAATTTAACATGTCCAGAATAGAAAACTGTACTAATTGAACTGCATGGAGAGTACATACCTCGAGTAAAGTATAACATTTATATGTTAACATTTTATGCAAGGAAACATAAACAAACAACACAATGATTCTTGAGCTCAAGTTTGAAAGTTGTAGTTGTTTTCTATGGAATTCTTGATGACATATTTGTTTAGTTTTGACCGAGCCTGCTGGTCATTTATGAGTAATTAGTACATATTCAGTCCTATTGTCACCTGCACTGAATTGTTTTGCTTTTGATTGTTTATTTTAATTCATTTTTTCCCCGCTAGTATAACAAAATTACAACAGTTACAAAGTGTATTAATAAATTGAAATTCTCCTAGGGAGTTGCATGTTACATCACCTTAAAATTAAAGTTTCAGTACTTATAAATTGCCAATAAGCACTGATATGTTCAACTCAAATGAGGTTTAGTTTAATGGCTAGAAGTTCAAATAATTTTTTTTTTTTTTTGAATAAAGAAGTTCAAATAATTAAGTGCAGGCTAGTGAGTTAAATAAGTTGAGATTTCCAATCTCTTTCCGAGGACAACTTGTTTTCATAATGTACATCTTCTATTTTGTTAATCCAAATTTTTATAATATAAAGTTTCTTATTAAAGTTGAAGAAAGTTCAAATAAGTTGATATAAGCTTACTTAAGTTCAGATGAGGTTGAATAATTTCATTTTGATTCTGTTCCGTTCAATATTTTTCAAATAAAAAAGCATACTCCTTTACATGTTCATCAAAAGGTTGCTTACCCTGAAAACTTAGATGGCTGTTGCAGCATCTCTTTGTATGATGTAAAAAGTTTTCACTCTTTTTTTTTTTTTTTTTTTTTTTTTTTTTGACATTTAATCTTTCCAGGAGAGTATTCTCCTGAACGTCTGGTGGAGATGATTTCTCTTCACTTGGAAGCGACGTATGGAGATCACACTTCATGGAGGGAATTTGCTTTATGTTTGCTTAAACTTTCCCAGTGCGAAGAAGACAGAATGTCAATGTGTGTAGATGGGGAGCAAATTCAGAATCAGAATTTGCATACTATCCGGTTCAGTAGGACACCTCCCTCATTTGTGGAGGGTACATCGGTAAAGACTTGGAAATTCCGCTGTAAATGGTGGTTGAACAGCCATTTTAGCAAGCACGTACTGGCATCAGAAATGGCAGAAGGTATCGCCTAAACTTACTTTGGCTATCTGGATTGTTTGTGTCGTATAATAATAATTTTTTGTAGCGGAGTGCATTTTGTGTAAAGTAAAACTTTTTTAACCACCTAAGGACAGTTTTTGCAACATTATCAGGTTTTTGAAATTGATAATGAGAATCTGGTTTAATTCAATAATGTTGCCCATTCAAGTTTATTTCATCTGTGCCTGTTATACTGTATATAGACCATTGGTATATGAATGAGTGCATTTTGTTATTTGTTGCTAGTAAAGAAGTTGCATAACTATTCCTTTACCTGTGCCTCTCAATGTCTTAAGCTTGATGTTGGTTTTTGTGCAATGACCTGAATTTTTTGATGTCCCAGGTGACTCAAGGCTCATGTCGTACAAGGCAGCTTGTGCATCCCATTTTTACGGGAAAGAGATGGAATATGTTGTGAGGGTTAATACATATCTGAACGAGCATGAGAACGATAGGACCTTGTCGTCATTTTTATACACACACATGCAGAATTCTGTAGGTTTTTTCTCTAATCTTGTTAGAAAGTGACATAACTTGCTATATAATTTTATTCGTCGAGGCTTTTTTAGAGTCAAGATCTCGATAGTTTATTACTGCACTAATTTACTAACTGATCTCACTAATCAAAATGTTTCAACTTCCGAGCAGTAATCCGAACAAGCACTACGCTTGAGTAGGTATGATATGTCCCCAATATGAATTTGGAGTGCAATATCAATTACTTAGGGAAAAAATCACTGGCAAATTATTACGGAGTATTGGTTATACAGTACTATAACTCGTGTTAAAATATTGCTCCGTAATAAAATGAAAATCCTGAATATTAGAATGGCAACTGCATATAAAAACGAAAAAACAATGGTCAAAAGACTACAAAGTGTTGGATTTTTAATTTATGTTAATCATATGCAAATAATGTTGGATGTATCATTCATGAAAAGTCATTTTTTGAGCTCCAACTTCAGGTTGTGCTTGTGCATACAATTTATGCTATTCAGGTCGTGTAAGTGACCAAAAATATCTAATTCGCCAATTTAAGTTTGTGCATACAATCTTTGAAGTTGTCCGCACAATATTGACAACTTTTTAGTAAGTGAGTTTTGCGCAAATACCACCAGACAACTTTAATAGCAAATTCAAATTTATCAGAATGAGAAACAAAATATGTTTCTCAAGTGGCTTTTTTTGTAATTAACTTACTTTGGGTACCGTGACAAATATTAAAATATACTCCAAACATAGCTGACCATTAACCTTGGGTTAAACAACCCAACCAGTCTACTATTACAACATTGAACAACGTCAACGGCATAAAACCAAGGTGTTGATCGATGTTTTTGGTCAAATTTCGTAGTGGGGAGACAAATGAGGTCGGTATACGAGCTTTATCGAAGTACGAGCAGCTTCAACATCTGATGTTGAAGCGTCAATTTGGTTTATGAGCTCCAATTTGGTGTTTTGAATAATAAGGAAATTGTTGTATCCTGATGCACCATATTTCCAGATGATAGTCACGATTACTACCCAACTCAATCCAACTAAATGGATGGGAATTAGATTAGTCAGCTCAAATCCAAGAAGAACCCTCAAGAGTGATAACCACTATGAACACCAATAACCAGAGAATAGAGAGAGAGGTTTTAGGGGGAGAAGAGATAGATTTGTATTAATTCATCTTAAGTAATTATATCCACTAATTGGCTTATTATAGCCTTCATTACAAGTGCATTGAACTAAGAAATAAAATAACAACTTCATAGAAAACTAGCAAAAGGAATCTAATTAGTTATTCTCTCTCTATATAGCAACAAGTCTCTCCTCCGGCTCATTGTCTAGCATAGCTTGCTCCAGCACAACAATAGCCAAAAGCAATGGAACAATAACCGTATCATTCTTTCCCATTTCACCCTCTTGCTAACTGATGTTTGCATAAATGCCTCCCCCTTTAGAGGATCCTAGACCCCAAGGATCATATTATGGGAACTGATTCTCAAGGCTCTAGCATCCTCCCTAGTGGCATCTTCAGGAGATGAATTTAACCATTGAATTAGCCATTGCACTACAGCATGGTTCCCTCTTTCTACAGATCGCTTATCAATCATGGTAGCGGGATGCTTCGGTGAGTCAGTACCACCATCAGGAAAAATAGAGTGATAAGTACGGGGAGTAACATGACCTCTGTACCTCTTGAGCTGAGAAACATGAAAAGTAAGGTGAACCTTAGCTGAACTTTGCACACACTTTCTTAATTATCTTGTATAGACCAAAGTATTTTGCTGCTAGTTTCTGTTTTAGCCTGGACACCATAGGTTGTTGCTTGTAAGGCTGAAATTTAAGATATACCCATGCCCCCACATCAAATACTCTTTCACTAATATGCTTGTTAGCCTGCAGCTTCATTCATTTTTGCGCTTTACTCAGATTTTGATTGATCATTGCAATGATTTGTTCCCTATGTTGTAAGCTTCTGTCTACAGTGTCCACTCTACTCATGCCTTGTAGGTAAGGGATGTGAATGGGAGGGGGTTGTCCATAGAGAACTTCATAAGGTTTAATCTTAATTGCAGACTGGTATGTAGTATTATACCAAAATTCTGCTAGAGGAAGCCACCTAGCCCATTCTTGAGGAGTGTTTGTGCACATACACCTAAGATAGGTTTCGAGGCACCTATTCAACACCTCGTATAGCCGATTAGTTTGTGGGTGATAAGATATGGAGGGTTTGTGTTGATGCCCTATAGTTTCATCAATTCCATCCAAGAGGTGCTAATAAACACCTTGTCTCTATCTGAGATAATTGACTTAGGGAATCCATGTATCTTGTAGATGTGATCTAAGTAAGCTTGAGCAGCCTTCATAGCAGCAAAAGGATGAGATAGAGGGACAAAATTAGCATACTTGCTTAATCTGTCTATGACAACCAAGATTACTTCCTTGCTCATGGACTTAAGTAAACCCTCAATAAAGTCCATAGTAAATTCTTCCCAAACCCTTTCAGGAATATGGAGTTGTTGCACAAACCTAGGTAAGGTACTAGGGTCATATTTGCATCTTAGACATGCATCACATTGTTTGATATAGTCAATAACACTTTGTTTCATGCCAGACCAATAAAATAAGCTCTTGGTTTTTCTAAGAGTTGCCTCCATGCCAGAATAACCTCCCATTGAAGAATTATGCAGCCAAGTCATGATCTTAGTCTTTAAACCATGATCATGCCCCATCACTTGCTTCCCCTTTTTTCTTATCGGTTGATTCTGCCACTTGTAGTGTTTGTGAGAGGTCGATTCATTCACCAAATTAGCTATGATTTTCTGCATATTAGGATCATCCTGCCATACCTTCTGCAAATCATCCATTAGAGTTGAATGAACAGGTGAAATCAGCATAGGCATCAACTAAGAGCTAGGTATCCTAGATAAAGCATCAGCTACCATATTCTCACTTCCCTGCTTATACTCAATGGTATAATCCATTCCCCCCAATTTGGACAATCATTTCTCTTGGAATGGTGTCACTATCTTATGATCAAGCAAGTGTTTTAGACTTAGTTTTAATGACAAAAGGTAAGATCATGAGGTGTTGCTGCCATATCTTCACCGCATAAACCATTGCTAACAAACTAGCAAAAGAAATCTAGTTAGTTATTCTCTCTCTATAGCAATAACTCTCTCCTCCAGCTTAGATTGCTCTAGCACAACAATAGCCAAAATCAATGGACAATAAGGGCCTGTTCTCATACGTTTATTTTCAGTTCACTTCAGTTCAGTTCAGTCCAGTTTAGTTCAGCTCCTAATTTCCTTCTCTTATAAAATATTCAGTTCAGTTCAGTTCAATTCAGTTCAGCTGATTTCAGTCTATTAGAATAGGCCCTAACTATATCATTCTTTCCCATTTCACCCTCCTGCTGACTGATGCTTGCATCATATCCCTTTTTTTGGATTTTTTTCCTCCTAATTCATAGTATACTAGATGAAACTCGTGCGATGCACAACATGGATTGTCTGTATTTTTTAACCAATTATTGTTTTTTTGTTTTATTTATTCCTTCATTATACAATCTGTATGTATGTGATAAAATTTGTTATTTATTCGTTACATAGTATATCATTTAATATTTTTATTTAAAATAAATTATTAAGTTTTCTCTCATTTAAAAATTTAAAATATTAAAAGATATTATTTTAGATTTAACTAATTAAATTTTAAATTTTATTCACCAATTTTGCTTATGTGACATTTGAATGATTTAATTTTGAAAGAAATTACAAATCATTCATTTAAATGGCTATCATAAATTTTTTAATCTTACATGGCGCGTTAAGAAAATTTAATCCTATGTGGCTCTCTACAAACTCGGGATTCGTGCTATATACGGGTTGTTTGAATATTTTAAAACAATTTTTTTTTGCTATTTATGTGCTAAAATTTATTATATATTTAGATAAAATTCCTACATTCAAAAGATAATACTTCCTCCGTTTTTTTAGTTGCTACACTTTTATTTTCACGGTCTCCTAAGCAGTTTTTAAGAAGAGAGAGGACCCATGTGGGTAGGAGTGAGATAGAGAGAAAAGAATGTCAAAGTGTTGCAACTAATTAAAAATTTCCATCGGAAAGTGTAGCCACTAAAAAGAAACGAAGGAAGTATTTTATCGAAGGAAGTATTTTATACTTTTACATGTATTAGATCTATGCCACTTCACCTTCCATATGTATTGTATGCCACATCTATCTTTGCTATCGTTTAATTGTGTTTCATCTTTAATAATCATATACTAAATACTTCATATTAAACAACAATTTGAGAGCACTTATTTAGTTTCATAGTTATTATTGTTCACTTTTTATTTAATTATATAGTTTATATTTTATAACTCAAATGATATTTAATTTATTGATATCAATATATATTATTAAAACTCATGGCAAGACATGCTATTTTGTCATGTGTCAACAATTTTGCCATTTGGCATATGATGTGTCGCCAAATCATACCATACCATTAATGATTGAAAAACTTCATGCATTAACCTTCATGTATTAATGTTAAGTTTAATTGATAAACTCTTCATATGCATAACAATTTCCCTTGAACTGTAACACCTTAATAATTACATAATATAAGGTTTGTAAGAAATTACTCCATTTTTATTTTGTGCATTAATTTATAAAATTGTAATCATAGAGTAAAAGATTTTTGTGCAATATGGAGTAGTATATATTTTGATATCAAATCTATAAAGATTTGACTACTTATCATTTTTTTTAACAAAGAGTTGATTTTAATGCAAAAAAAAAAAAAACCTTATAGTCAAACCAACTCATACAATCAATAACCTACTTAAGCTATCATTTTACCAAAAAAAAAAAAAAACCACCACTTAAGCTCTCATTGACAAACAAGATAAAATATATATACTACGTAGTTCGATTAAAGTAATAAATTTACAATGACCCAGGCTTCCTCCGGGACAATAACTATTGGGTTGCAAACTAAAACCCGTCCCATGTTCCGCACATAAATTAAAGCAACTAAAACATGCATATTAATTAACAACATCAGTAATTAACAAGAAAGGGAAAGACAAAA